CTGGCTGGGGAATTCTGGGAGTTGAAGTCCATATATCTTAAAGTTGCCAAGGTTGAGAAACTTTGGGTTAGGATATAGAGTCTTGGAAACTGAATAAGCAAGATTCCCACCCTGATGCATATGTGAATTTATCAAGATGGGGTCTCTGTGACTTTTTTGAACCTCTTTTTCCCAGATAGCGCAATTGAACAGCTAACTGCTCTCTTTCTGGATAAGCCTAACCCTGAAGCATCCATCAGCAATTTGTCAGGGATGTTCTGAATTAGTTCCTTGACCTTGGCAAGTTCTCCTCTAAAATGGCCTCTTCCATCTCTGTGGTGCTGGGCTGGAATTGGTACACGTGTCCACTTTACCAAACCAAGCACTGGTGGATTTCAATTCATGCTGGACTTGAGCTTGGGGGCTGTGGGAGGGGGGCTGCTTTGGTCAGGGAGCTGTGGGAACTGAAATCAAAGATCTGGAGGCAGGCTGGAGAGGGCTTGGATAGGGACCTCAATGCATCTATAGCCATGCAACTGGGAAAAAAAATGCAATTCAGCAGCATTCAATGTCTACCTGCTAAACATCAGCATGTTGGTTGAATACATGTACAAGCCATGCCCCTTCATTCATCAGGATAAATAGCAATAAAATTGCTGCATCAAACCAAAGATGATGATGGTGACCTCCTTTGCATCCCACCATTTCGTTGAAACCTTGACATGGCTTATATGAGGGTTTTCTCTCATTTTATCGCCAAGAGAACAGCCCTGTAAGGTAGGTTGGAGTTAGAACAACATCTGGCCTCAGGAAGACCCAGGAAGTCCTGTGGTTGGGTGGAAAGTTGAACCTGAACTGGACCTGTCTTCTCCTCATTCGCCCCTCTTACTCCATGATTCACTTGCTTTTTCTCTCCAGCAACATAAGTTTGAGAAAAAGTCCACCTGTCTTTTTGTAGGTTAATCCTTGTTGTTATAAACATGGGATTGGACTTAACCCAATCAACCCCATCAACTGAACACTTCTTTGGGCCTTCCCCATCCCCAGATCTTGTATTCTGGAAACCATTAAGCACAGAGGAGCAGAGATAAGCCTCTAATGTTCTTTTTTATTCTTTTCTGTAATGTGTACAAGCTGCACCCTTATTTATCCTGTGACGTGTATGCTTAGCCAACTTGATGGAGCTGATTTAGAAATGGCCATCTTACAGGAGTTTAATCAGGCATGGCTGTTGTGAGAAATCCAACCCCCTTGCTTGATTTGAAAAGAAAGGGTATCAAGGTGGTGTTTTGTATTCAGAGGGGGAGGAAAAGGACTAAGAATTTAATTGGAGTTTTTTATGACCAGCCCTCCCCTACTGATAGAGCTGTAAAACAAACAAAGTAAAAATATTCTGCTTTAATTACGTTTAGGAATACACCAACTGGCATCTTTTTCTGCTTTGGCACAAGCCATAAAGCATTTGCTGTCATAATTTGAACAATAACAAATTATGAATGTTTGAAAAATAGTGCTTTTTCATCTGCTTTCAACTGTATCTCTTCTCAAGATTTCAGACCTAAGAGCACAGAACTGGGTGATGTGGCAATAGCGAAGCTGTTTTTCTTTTTAATGCCTACCTTTTTAGGGCTTCTTGCAAATATAGAGAGAGGTATGGTAGGGAGGATGTTTATTTAGTAAGAAACTTGATTGCTTTTCTGGGAGCATTAATTCTGTCTTACCAAATAGGCGATTCCAACCAGATTTTTTTAAAAAAACTGTAACTTCTGAAGATATTACTCCCCGCAGTTTTTTGGGGAAAAAATGCCCTTCATCTTATAACTCATAAAGTCTTACTATGACACTAAGCTGGGTTGGAACTGGTTAATATTTGGATGGGAGGCCACTTGGATACTCCAAGCTATTGAAAAATGTCCCAGAACAAGGTAACGGTAAACCAATTTTGTCTTCCACGATTGGCTTATTCAGTGCTTCTTTTTGTCGCTCTGTAAATGTCATGACCTGTGTTTTATTGAAATACTCTGCTTTCCATATAAATGAGAATAATGTCTTACAAGTTGGTTCATCACCTCCTCTGCAGAAACTGAGGTAAAAATTCTTTTTTCTTGCTCTTTTTGCAATTAATAGACCAACATTTTGTCTGGCTTACTACCTTTCTCAAAATATTTTTGACAAAATTGATCTTGCAGATTTCATTTACTTCCATTAAATCTAGCTCATGATAAATCATCTTTTGTTGTAGATCCAACAGTGGCTTCTGCTTGGGTCTTAATTCAAGTTCCTTCAGGCCATTCAACAATATATATTCCTTTATTTTTGTATACTTTTTTTTAATACAATGCCAAGAATTCAACAATCATCTGATAAAGATTTTACTGGAATTCCATACTGTGGATGAAGAAACATCAGTAATTAAAATAGTGTGGAAGAAGCTCTCTTATTCATATTGAAATTTCAATTTAATATTTCTTGCAAGATCATTCGATCTCCATCTTTTTGAGCCAAAGGTTCCTCTGTGCAATCTTACACATAAGTAAAGAGCTACAACTTCTATATCTGTATTTTTAGTTAATAATGAACTAGTAGGACATGTCTGTTCTTGAGTAAGTTTTCGTGAACAGAAACATTCTTTCTCTAAAGGACATTTGTGTCTCCATGTCTCAGAGAGAGAAATAGTGACAAACAGCGTCAAGATTTTTTGGAAGTTTACCCAAATTCCTTTGATAGGAACCAGATGAATCAAGATTTGGGGAAAGAACCCCATTCATATCTCTGAGAATCAAAATGTCTGCCTTTGTGATTTCAAGAAGTAATTAAAAAAAATTCAGAAGAGTATCTACAGTAGGTGGCAGTGCCTATCCAACCTTAGCTCATCTCCCCAAAAAGTTAAGCAGAATTAGGTCTGGTTAGTGCTTGGCTGGGAGATTCATCCTAGGCTTGTAGGCTAGACTGGGAAACTGGAAACATCTGGATAAAAGCAGTGCCAACTACTTTCATAATGTTGCCCAGAAGCAGCCAAGGTGCTGCGATTGAGTCCAGGCGTGTCTTTATCATTTCATCATCTCTTAATCCATTTCTTTGAATATGTCTGTGTATCTTTATTAGCCATTAAAGAAGATGAATAAACAACCCTGAAAATAAAGGTAGGAAGCAGGAATGAAAAAGTGAAATACAGATGAATAAAGAAGGGATTTAAAAATGTTATGGAGGTTATACTTTTCCAGTATATTATCAGCTAGTTATGAATACCTGAATACTGTATATTACTTTGCTTCAAAAGACTAAAAAGCACTGTTAAGCAATAAATCAAGAATGCATATCAAGAACCATAATCAACACAGCATACGATGGCTGGTGTGGGTCTTCCGGGCTGTGTGGCCGTGTTCTGGAAGTTTTGTTTCCTAACGTTTCGTTTTGCCAGCATCTGTGACCGGCATCTTCAGAGGACAGGAGCACAGACAGGAGCAGCTCTCTCTGTGCCCAGGGTGATGTGGCCCTTTTGTGGGTATTTATAGAGATCTGAAGGGGGGGATTAGGGAGTGTGTGTGG